TGAATTTGGTTCAGGAATGTTAAGTGTCACTGCTGCTTTATTGAACTCCCCAAAACGCGACCAATCGGCCTCCTGTACATTATGGCATAGGCATGTTCGGTATGAAACTGATTGTTATTCCTTTTTACATTGTTATTAATCTAGTGCACGGGTGTCAAACTGGTGGCCCTCCAGCTGTTGCCAAACTACAAGTCCCATGAGGCATTGCAAGCATTACTCCCAAAGGCAGATGCATGATGGGACTTGTAGTTTTACAACAGCTGGAGGGTCACCAGTTTGACACATCTGATCTAGTGCTATAATAGCATTGATTATGGAAATACTGGGTAGCTTAGCTGAATGTTAGTTTAGGTGACTACCTACAGTTTGACAAATCTGCATTCCTCCAGATTACGTATGATAGGATGGTGTTAAAAGTCTCTGGCATTCTAGCCTCTAATAAAGTACTATTTATGGTATCCATTTATGACGGGGCTCATTACCAGATTGTGCAGATCATGTTTTAAAGGGATATATGATGGCGTGCATTAACAGAGTAAGATTTCATCTAACAGAAGAGGCATAACCACACGAGACACATCCGAATCTCTGTAATATACCTTTTGCTGATTTTTGCTTCTCTTTTGGCCACACTTAGAATTTAACCGCCTCAATATGTGTGCCCTCCTATCCCTCTTGTATTGAACTGTATTGTTGCTGTATTGTCTCCCGTTATATTGTAAAGTGCTGAGCAAACTGTTGGCGCTATATAAATCCTGTATAATAATAATATACCGCCTCAAATAATATCACCCAAACTGTCCTCTCTGCTCCTCCCGCGACCTCCTGTTCTCTAGCTCCCTTGTCTCCTCCTCCCATGCTCGTCTCCAGGACTTCTCCAGAACCTCCCCCATCCTCTGGAACTCTCTACCCCAATCTATCCGACTATCGCCTACTCTGCCCACTTTTAGGCGATCTCCAAAAACCTCTCTCTTCAGGGAAGTCTATCCCGCCTTCAGCTAATAACGGAATCTTCTATTTCTCCTATCAGTTCATCCACCAGTTATTACCTTTTGTACTACCAGCCCCACCCTCTTAGATTGTAAGCTCCAAGGAGCAGGGCCCTCCTATCCCTCTTGTATTGAACTGTATTGTCTCCCTTTATATTGTAATGCGCTGAGCAAACTGTTGGCACTATATACATCCTGTATAATAATAATAAATTGAGGTGGTTATACCAGGCTCATGGTTGAGGCTACTACAACTATGATCCCGATACTGTTTTCTTCAGACGGCGATTCCCTGTCTTGTACAAGTGAGCGGAGAGGCTGTACAGCCACCTGGTCATTTTTACACCCTCAATCCTCCCGCCACCTTTCCCAGGCTCTCCCACAACTGATCAAACCGATCTTGGCTGGATCAGATGCTTTGGAGGCCAGAAGAGAGACATGGGGATAAAAGACCTCAGATCTCTCCATAAAAAGGACTTTTCACTGCCATTCGATCACAAGGGATGTTGTGGTAGCAAAAAAAGAGTTGATAAATAATTTAAAGGAACAGTGTGTAAAAAATAAAGGTTTATAAAATTAATTTAAACATTTCAAACGTCCCTGTCCCCTCTGTGCTCGCATGTAAAGGCGAAGGTGCACGGTCTCACATGCATATGTAAACAGCAATCACACCACACATGCGAGGTATTGTCACAAACGTCAGCACGAGAGCAACAATTCTAGCATCAGTCCTTCTGTGTAACTCTAAACCGGTAAAATTTAAAGGCTTTTAAAGCGTCACCTATGGAGATTTTTTAGGTAAAGTAGTTTGTTGCAATTCCAATGGCGTACGCAATTTTAAGAGTGATATGTAAGGTAAGGTACTTATTTACTCACGGTAACATCATCATTTCTATATTACTAAATACTATATAAAATACTAAAGTGTTTTTATATATATATATATATATATATATATATATATATATATATATACACATACATGCACACACACATATATACACATATATATATACACACACACACACACACACACATACATACACACACTGTTCAAAAAGTTAAAGGAATGCTTTTTAATCTAGCATGAAGTCATGTAGTCATTTAAACTCCTGGGATATTGATCTGGTCAGGTATGTAGCAGAGGGGGTTGTTAATCAGTTTCAGCTGCTTTGATGTTGATGAAATTAACAACAGGTGCACTAGATGGGCAACAATGAGATGACTACCAAAACAAGAATGGTTTTACAGGTGGAGGCCACTGACATTTATTTTCCTACTCATCTTCTCCGACTGTTTTTCACTAGTTCTGCAATTGGCTAGGGTCAGTGTCACTACTGGTAGCATGAGGACATACCTGGACCCTACAGAGGTTGCATAGGCAGTCCAACTCCACCAGGATGGCACATCAATACGTGCCATTGCTGGAAGGTTTGCTGCGTCTCCCAGCACAGTCTCAAGAGCATGGAGGAGATTCCAGGAGACAGGCAGTTACTCTAGGAGAGCTGGACAGGGCTGTAGAAGGTCCTTAACCCATCAGCAGGACCGGTATCTGCTCCTTTGTACAAGGAGGATTAGGATGAGCACTGCCAGAGCACTACAAAATGACCTCCAGCAGGCCACTGGTGTGAATGTCTCTGACCAAACAATCAGAAACAAACTTCATGTTCACGTGGGGGCCATACAAACTACTGAGTACCATTCTGAGTTACTGCAGTGACATTTTAGCAAAATGGATTAGACTGCTGCATACTTTTTTACTTTGATTTTCGGGGTGTCTTTGAATTCAGTCCTCTGTAGGTTGATAATTTTCATTTCCATCAAACAATGGGGCATCCTTCCATTCCCTAACACATTACACAACATATTTTTCCCCCATTGAGATCTGATGCGTTTTCAAAATGATGCTTTAATTTTTTTGAGCAGTGTATATTTAAAATGAATAATTTCTTATTGATTTTAAAGAAACTAAGAATTTCTGAGCATTTTACTTTTATTATTATTGTTTTATATTTTACTATATAATATTAAACTTTTATTGTTAAAAAAAAAAAAAAAAAAAGAAGCTGATGCACAGCTGCAACAAATTTTGTGCTCTCCAGTTTTAGGACATCTCCCCCTCTGTCACCTTGCCAACGCTGGCTATTCCCTCAACAGAAGGTCGCAAAGTTTCCCACAATGGGAATGCCACTAGCCAGCAGGTCTAGTACTGGGGTAAGCCGCTTGATGAATACCCAAGGTGAAAATGATATACAAGAAGGGCAAGGCCATGAACTGGTAGTGAAGGTCCCACAGCACACGTACGAAATGCTGGTGTGCTAGAAAGATGGGGACATTTAGGTCCTGATGTCCACAGAATCCAAAAGGTTTCCCTGGTGAAAGGAGGAAATAATAAACCGGGTGGGTTCCATGCTGAATATCTGAACTCAAATTAGGATATTCAGAGCTTTAAAGTGAAAAGATGGACAAGATGTCCCTTTGTGTACAATTGTTTATTTATTTATTTCAGGTACTTGTATAGCGCCGTCAATTTGCGCAGCAATTTACATATATATTGTACATTCACATCAGTCCCTAACCCTCAAGGGGTGTACAATCTAAGGTCCCTAACTCACATTCATATATACACATACTAGGGCCAATTTAGACAGGAGCCAATTCACCTACCAGCATGTCTTTGGGGTGTGGAAGGAAACCGGAGTACCCGTAGGAAACCCACGCAGGCACAGGGAGAACATGCAAACTCCAGGCAGGTGGTGCCATGGCTGGGATTCAAACCAACGACTCTAGTGCTGCCAGGCAGAAGTGCTAACCATTTAGCCACTGTGCTGCCCCAATTGTTGAAACTGTTCTCCCACAGGACCTGGGGCAATGACACCTTGGACCAGAAGACCTGAGAGATCTCTATGGAAATCTGGTAAGCTGTGCAAAGGTAAGGGATAGTTGGAGGAGAGAAACCAAGGACAGGACCTCTAAAGCTCTCTGTAGCAAACTTGTTATCAAAATGAAGTCTGTAAAGAGCCCGACGCAGAACCCTGTATCAGAAAGTCACTTCAAAAGATATCCTCGCAGTCTAACAGGGTCCAAACTCATTTTAAAGGCCAAAGTGAGGACGGGGGCACCAAAAGATGGCCATCCTCCTAAGACACTAGCAAAAAAACTGAGGTTTATCCTGAGCTGGCCACAGTTTGCCAGTGTCCAATCCTACTGCAGGCGGCAGTATAGAAAAGTGAAAGAATTCTTGTGTCCCTCCATCAAAAAAGACATTAAAAGGTAGATACAGTATAATTTTGCAGGAAGGTTATTGTTGAAATGAATGGTATGGCAACTGGGCCTCTTGTTTGTTTGGCCAATTTAACTGCAATCAATGCCAAGTGGATTTCTCCTTATATTAGGGGCCTTACTCTCCCATTGAACCGGATGATTGCTAAGAATTAGTAAATTTTAATTATTAATCCATCGACCAGTTTAATACTTGTTTGGCAGTGGATGGAGAACATGCTCAGCATAGGAGGTTTTGCACAATAGCTGCAATGCACAAGATGCTGATTTTTCTTAAAGTATGTCGGAAGCTTTTGTAATTATCACATTACTCGAGAACCCTGGCACTTCACGGATCTGAAAATTAGTTCGACAACACTTGCATTGGCAAAAGCCCGAAGACGTTTGTAATCTTCTGCAAATTGGGAAGTAGGACAGGTGGGGGGTTTTAAACAGCTTAAGCTTTTCACAAGACACGAGGCCGGTGGCAATTAATGTCTTCTAGATATTCAGAAGACGAAACAACCAGCAAACAATGTGGAACCAACAGAAGATAAATGTTGCGATTCATTAAAGTGGCAGTTCCCCCCTTCCCCAGAACACGCACGCTGTTTCTAGGGAAACCAAAATAAAACCTGTTTTATGACTGCATCATGCGTCACACAAGTGGAAAAAATAAAAACAGACAAAATCCTACCAATTATTGGTTTCCATGACTTAATATTAAAATTTAGTATTTCAGCTTACAAACTGCTTTCAAGCAAAATTGAAGTAGAGGCACGTCCATACTGTATGAGGTAAAAAGGAAACTGCAGGCTTTCACCTATTTTTCTTTATACATTCCAAAGCGATCAGCCTAAAGCTTTCCCCGGACCCTGCATTCACTATATCTGGTCTCCCCGGACCCTGCATTCACTATATCTGATCCACCCGGACCCTGCATTCACTATATCTGCTCTCCCTGGACCCTGCATTCACTATATCTGGTCTCCCCGGACCCTGCATTCACTATATCTGGTCTCCCGGACCCTGCAGTCACTATATCCGCTCTCCCCGGACCCTGCATTCACTATATCTGGTCTCCCCGGACCCTGCATTCACTATATCTGGTCTCCCCGGACCCTGCATTCACTATATCTGGTCTCCCAGGACCCTGCATTCACTATATCTGGTCTCCAGGACCCTGCATTCACTATATCTGGTCTCCCAGGACCCTGCATTCACTATATCTGGTCTCCCCGGACCCTGCATACACTATATCCGGTCTCCCCGGACCCTGCATTCACTATATCCGGTCTCCCCGGACCCTGCATTCACTATATCCGGTATCCCCGGACCTGCATTCACTATATCTGGTCTCCCCGGACCCTGCATTCACTATATCTGGTCTCCCCGGACCCTGCATTCACTATATCTGGTCTCCCCGGACCCTGCATTCACTATATCTGGTCTCCCCGGACCCTGCAGTCACTATATCTGGTATTCTACAGTACACAGAACTTGGAAATGCAATTACCGTATTTGCCGGCATATAAGACGACTGGGCGTATAAGACGACCCCCCTACTTTTACTGCTAAAATTTAGTGTTTGAGCTATACTCGCCGTATAAGACTACCCCTCTTCCAATGCACACCAGTGGCAGGAATAGTGCCCCATCATTGGTATCAGTGGCAGGAATAGTGCCCCATCATTGGTATCAGTGGCAGGAATAGTGCCCCATCATTGGTATCAGTGGCAGGAATAGTGCCCCATCATTAGTATCAGTGGGGGGAATAGTGCCCCATCATTGGTGTCAGTGGGAGGAATAGTGCCCCATCATTGGTGTCAGTGGGAGGAATGGTGTCCCATCATTGGTGTCAGTGGGAGGAATGGTGTCCCATCATTGGTGTCAGTGGGGGGTGGAATAGTGCCCCATCATTGGTGTCAGTGGGGGGGGGGGAATAATGCCCCATCGTTGATGTCAGTGGGGGGGAGGAATAGTGCCCCATCGTTGATGTCAGTGGGGGGGAGGAATAGTGCCCCATCGTTGATGTCAGTGGGGGGGAGGAATAGTGCCCCATCGTTGGTGTCAGTGGGGGGGAGGAATAGTGCCCCATCGTTGGTGTCAGTGGGAGGAATGGTGCCCCATCATTGGTATCAGTGGGAGGAATAGTGCCCCATCATTGGTATCAGTGGGAGGAATAGTGCTCCATCATTGGTATCAGTGACACCAATGATGGGGCACTATTCCTCCCACTGACACTTGCTGACCCTGTTCTCGTATGGTGCTGCTGCAGCCAGCATATGTGGTTGCAGCAGCACCTCTACACTGACCACTTACCTGCTGGTCCTGCACTCGATTTTCGCGGGGCCGCTCGGCTCCACCCCCTTGCCGGTGATTGGCCGCCTGTGTGCCTTTCCTGAGCTACAGTTCTGGCGGCCAATCACTGGTGAGGAGGCGGAGCCGAGCAGCCGCACGAACATCCAGTGACTGAACTGAAGGCGCAGCCGCGCTTCCTGGACCGGATCGTCGTGGGACCGGAACCAGGTAAGAAACAGCCGCTGCCCACCCCTGTACTTAGTGTCCCTTCCATTGGGGGAAGGGGGGGGGCGGCGGCGGCAACGCGCCGCCCCCCTAAAAAGTGTCAGTATGCCGTTATACCGGCGTATAAGACGACCCCCGACTTTTGAGAAGATTTTTAAGGGGTAAAAAGTCGTCTTATACGCCGGCAAATACGGTATTTTAGTAAATATATATTGCTAAATACCTTTTCTCATCAGCAATATATAGCAGTCTTATGACTTCTATCAGTGTCCAGCAGGCCCTGATCCCTATTTTCGGGTCCAACATCGATGATCTTGACTCACCGTGTCTGCTTGCTCCCGAGCTGTGTGTCTATGGAGACACACACAGCGGGACTTTGTCATCCCCCCACTTCTTCCTGACGGTATTAGATTGACAGCAGACAGAGCCAATGAGCTCCTGCTGCTGCTCGAGTCCCTGTGTGAAGAAGAGAGGGAAGAGATGCAGCCATGCACAGCACTAGATCTCTTCTCCCCTCGAGACAGGGAAGAGGGAGGACAGAGAAACAGAAAATGTTTTTTTTACCTTATTGCAAGGAATGCATTAATCTTCCTGGCGGTCTGATTAGGTCAATATTTTTGAATGTCAAAGCGGTACATTGTTTTGCATGGAAATATGTAGTTTTTTTATTGTAGGCCTGTAATTCTTAGGAATAACTCAATAAACAAGAGTCTAGTAAACATCCCAGGTATGATAAAGTTTGAAACACAAAATCATAATATAATAAATTATTAAAAATAATTATAAAAATAATATAATAATAATAAATTTAATTCAATAACGTAATGAAACCAAAACACTGAAATTTGAAATAGAGCACCAAGTTCGCACATCGCTGAGCAAAGTCGCAGAATCGTTTTCAGTGTCTGATGACGAATTTCCCCCACGAATCATTATCACTCAATTCTGCAAGTGGTTCTGATTTACTATCGCTGTTCTCTAGCCGGTCTAAAACCGCTTTTGACCTAAAGGGACGCTTTTTGGACGCCATGGACGTTTCTCAGTTTTCAGGCAGAAAGAACAGTAAAAATGCAGGCAGGGCGCCGGACAAAGCACTCGGGACAACATGTATGTGAAATGGTTTGATACAGTAATGGAATCCTAACAAATTACAATGTATTGTGTGTATGTCATGTTTTTACTTTTTTTAATCTCCCGCCGGTTCTGCCCCCGTGTCGCGACGCTCGCAGGGAAGGGAACCCAGAAGACGGATGCCGGCATCGGCCGGAGGAGATGGCCGGAAACACAGCGGGAGGACATCGCAGGATCGTGGGACAAGGTAAATTACACTACAGCGTAATCCCAAGTGTGGCTCGGGGGTTACCACTTTTGGTACTGAAAATTAACCCCGAGCTACACTCAGGATTACCGCTAGGAAGGTTAAGGTAAAAAAAAAAAATTTTGGTTTAGTATCACTTAACCACTTCAAGTCCGGACACTTTCACCCCCTTCCTGTCCAGGCCAAATTTCAGCTTTCAGCGCTATCACACTTTGAATGACAATTGAGCGATCATGCAACACTGTACCCAAATGAATTTTTAGCATTTTTTTTGAGACAGATAAAACTTTACATTGGTGGTATTTATTCACCACTGGGATTTTTATTTTTTTTGCTATATAAATGAAAAAGTCCAAACATTTTGAAAAAAAAAAGTGTTTTTCTTATAAAATTTTGCAAATAAATAATCTTTCTTCATAAATCTTGGCCAAAATGTATTCAGCTATCTTTTTAGTAAAAAAAAAAAAAATAACCCAAATTAGTTTATAACCAAAAATTATAATTTTTCAAAAAAAAATTTACGTTTTGATTTTATTTTTTTATATTATTTTTTATGAGGTTTTTTTTTAACATACTGTCATCCAAGCAGTACAGTGTCACCATAGTGACACTGTACAGCTTGTAGGGGATGATAATTTTTTTTTTTTTTTTTTACACTGATTGCGTTTACATCCATAAAGGTTGTAAACCAATCATTTCTCCTCTCTGGCTGTACTCTTGCAGCCACTGAGAAATACTGTGTGAGCTGTGATTGGTCACAGCTTGTCACATGGTACAAGGCTGTTGTGAATAGCCCTGTACCATGTGACCTCTGTGATCGTTCACAGATTTCACTAGTAGTAAGCACTGATGTCAGAAGTGACATCTTGCTTACTACTAATCATGTGATCACCGACTGCCCAATCAGTGATCACATGATCAGGACCTCACACAGAGGTCCAGTAACAGTGATCGGAGGACACAGCGGGAACCGGATCGCAGTGCTGCATGCTCCCAGGGAGTGTGCACAGCCAGGGAAGCGGGAGGACGTTTATAAAGGGCCACCCGCTCCTGCACTGCTCCCATCCAGCAGTTTATATACAAGGGCTGGACAGGAAGTGGTTAAGGAAGCCTTTTTCAATCAGGGTGCCCTCAGGTATCTTCAGGGTGAATTGGAAAAATGTCTAAAAATTGCCCAATAACAAGCCAGTGGGTGGATCTAGCCTGCCTTTTTAGTTACACAAAGCCACAGGTTATCATTGTGCACCATTGCACTTTCCAGCTGCTGACGATATAAAAAAACAACTATGTTATCACTTGATAAGGACATCAGGGCCCTACACAGCATCCTGGCTTGCCTCTCTCCTGCCCCTCTTTGTCTGCACTGGGGTCACATTAGCTGAGGAGGAAGAGAAACAATGGAATACTAGTCAGTACCACTGTGCAAAGGTGTATTTCCTTTGGAAGAATAAGTCACCTGTGACGTTGGGTGTCCCACATGTACACATGGTTTTTGTACTTTTCTTACTTGTGTCTTGCTGTTTATCTTCCCTCGTTGTGCACTTACCAGACAGACACTCAGCTGTCTCTGATATAAAACACCCACAATGCTCATGATAGCCAGAGATGTGACCTAAGCCACCTTAACGTCACAACAAATTGGGATGCCAAATAAAATGAAAGGTGTACGTCCTGCCAAACATGTTGTTCCTATTTAGAATACAGTGAGGAAGGGCTAGAACCACAGTCAGGTTTTTACTGCTCCCCAGGGCTCTTTCATTTGGCTCAATCCTCCCTCAGGCGCTCCACCATTTTTCTATGTTTCTGGCACAATCACAGATGTTTCCGAAGGGCTCTGCCTGGCTTTTGGAGGCGCAAGCAGAGGATTTTTGCACATTAACAAAACACGTTAATCCTGATAAATCCATAACAACCTGCCTATGTGTATGCACAAGAGAACCCCCTGCATGCACAGGAGAAGCCCAGCTGCACAGTTCTGGCAGATCCCAAAGCCCTGCGGGACCATCAGCGCACAGAATACGGGAGGGGACGTGTGAACATCATTCTCACCTCAGTGAGGAATACTGCCTTGCAGCACTAAAAAATCCAATAAATTAAAGTGATTCTAAAGGTTTGGTTTTTTTTTTTTTAAGAAAAAATAAACATGTTACACTTACAGTAGTAGTATAGGCACTTATTTTTAATGTTTTACTTAGCTATACCTGTAAAAGGTGCCAACATAAAGAAATCTCCTAGATTGTAAGCTCCAAGGAACAGGGCCCTCCTAACCCTCTTGTATTGAACTGTATTGTTGCTGTATTGTGTCCCGTTATATTGTAAAGAGCTGAGCAAACTGTTGGTGCCATAAATCCTGTAAAATAATAATAATATCAGGTCTTAAAGCAAGTCTAAAGGTTATGTCAGGAATTGACTCACCTCTGGTGGTGGGACTCACCTGCCGTGTGGCTGCAGTACCAGGGCTGGCCAGCGGGTGCTCTCAGCAGCCAGAAGCTCACTCCTGCAATCAAGTCATCACCTGAGGCTGATTGCAGGAGGTGTATTTAAGGAGTGGCCAGGCCTGCAGTCAGTGCCTTGGTGTATTGTTTCCCTTGGCCCCTGTATCCTGATCCTGCTTGCTTGAATCCTGACTCTG